GGAGCAAACTTGTTTTCTGCTGCTGCAGAGACTAGGACATGGCACAGTGGATGCAAGCTACAGGAAAAGAGATTCCACCAAAATATTAGGAAGAACTTCCTGACAGTAAGAGCTGTTTGACAGTGGAATACATACGGTGGAATCTCCTTCTTTGAAGGTTTTTAAACAGAGGCTGGGTGGCCATCTCTTGGGGGTGCTTTGATTGTGTATTCCTGCATGGCAGATTGGGGTTGGACTGGATGGCCCTTGAGATCTCTTCCAACTCTTTGATTCTATGATTCATGTGTAAAAACAGTACACCTGCAGCAAAGAAACAAAAATTGGGTTGGTTCGTTGATGGTCTTGAGCTATCCTTTGGAAAGCTTTACTGACAACACTCTCTTTCTCACGAAATCAAAATTACAGATAGCATAACAGCTGTGTCTCCAGTTGGAATGCTTGTGAATATTCTGTACCACCATGACCAGCTTGGCCAATTGATTCTAGACACTCTACTACAAGAAATGAAATATTGTATGTAGACTGTGTATGTGGTAGTGAGAATCATAGGCACTAGTCAAGTCTGAGAGGATAAAAAGAGAGAAGCATGGTTACAAAGGAGCTGGTGTGCCCCTGATTTATTCCTGGCTCTTGGTGAAACCTCAGCTGTATATTTTTAGAAACGCAGTCATATGTTTGCTGTATCTACCATGTGTCTGTACTTTTTCTGCCCACTCAAAGAGGGTTGTGGCCTTCCTTACGAGACCGCCAGCCTTAAGGATCATTTCGCTCACACATATTTAAAACAACATCAGAGTCAGACACCACTCCTTAAAGGGACAGAAGGCACTATTATTTGAAATCAGCCTTTAAAAAATGAACCAGCTTGCTGCTGAAAGTATCACACTGCCATCAGTAATGTCATATGTGTGTGAGAATAAATCCCACCAAAATTTTACTCTTGATCCAAGAACCATCATACAGGTTTATTAGTTCCAAGGGTCTGCTGGATTATTGGGACTACAGTTCCCAGAATCCTCCAGGTGTTTTGTTTTTTAAAAAGCCTTCCAAATTCTTGTTTTCCCCCCATTAGAACTCTTACTGAAATGAAATACAGTTGTGGAAGTGTTTTAAGACTGGAGAAGTTTTTGCTTTTCTTCCAGTCTGCTGTAAATTGTTTTGCAAATCTGGGTTGCAAGGTCAACTTGTTTTATGCATTTTACTAGTAATTCTTGCCTCCCAAACCTGGGATATATTGCATTCCAAGTTCTGATTGCTTTTGATAGCTCCAGCCCTGATTATAATAAGAACCAAGCTGTAATGCCCTCAGCAGATCCATTTGCCAACAAGTCAGGGGCAAGGAAATCTTTTATCTTGGCCAGCAAGGATGTTTAAGTTACATTACCGCTACAAAAAAAAGGTTGGGTTTTTTTGGTACTTTAAAGAGGAACAGGATTTCTTTGCCATCAGCTTTGTGGAATTTACAACAGTTGAAGAGGAATGGGAATGAAGGTGCCAGCAACCAACAACATTGATTGTATAACAGTGACTGAATGCACTGTTTGCATTACAAAGTTATAACACTGATTCCACTTTAAAATGTCATGACTGCATCCTAGGGAATCCTGGGACTTGTAGCACTCTGAATGAATCCTAAACTCTAAATATCTCCCTAAACTGCAAATCACAGGATTCCATAGGATGGAGCCATGCCAGTTAAAGTGGACTCTCATAGCATTTATAACTATGAAGTGTGAAAGGTCCCCAAGAAGCAAGGGATTAATCAAATACATATATGGTGATGGAAAGTCTTTGTTCAAATCAAGTAGAGTTTAATCTCAAGATGGAATTTATAGTGTGTCTGAGATAGAAATTAGGGTACTAGAGTAGCAGTACAAGAATCACAGGCAGAGAAATTTGCTTTAAATAGTTGTCATTAAAGATTAAAAACCTTCGTCCCTCTTCAGGCCACACGATAAAGAGAGCTGAACTTTTGATTCAGCTGTTCATTCTTGTTCAGCTGATTTCTATTGGAAACAGAAAGAAAACTGTGAGATTTCTTAAGATGTAGTCCACTTCTGAGATCTATTTTCCTTTTTCTCTCTCTTACATTTTCCGGCGTATAAGACGACC